CATTGCATACTTTCAGAGCAAGGCTTCTTTTCCACTCACGATTCCTTTTGGCCCAGGATGTTGTTGTGTGGCCCCAGGTATATAAATACATAAAATTGGGCATTCGTTTTGAAAATTTCCAGATAAATCAGAAAGGAAATTATTTTATAAAATTTGTTATTGTGCATATGCATATGACATGTGCACTCGTGGGTGTGAGCATGTATATGCCAGAGCATATGTGTGGAGGTTAGAGAATGCCTCTGAGGAGTTGCTTCTCTCTATCTACCATGTGTTCCTGGAATAGTACTTAGGGTTGTAGCCCAAGTATTTTTACCCCCTGAGCATGTCACCAATACAAGAAACTTATATTTTTATGTAGGGATTTAAATGTTGGCTGAATATTTGATACTTCAGCATCTTCAATGTTTCTTCAGAGTTGGTCAATATTATGATTTTCTAATCATAAATTCTAAAAATGGCACATTGTATAAATACATAGTACAGAATGGCAGAATTATGTTTAGAGCCATTTGCCATTTCAGAAATTGTTGGACATTCTGTCTTAACTAAGACTACTTCATGCTTTCTATAAAATTTAAGCCAGCAATTCAAACTGCAATATTTTTCGTAATCAAACATACAATTTTTGGTGGCTTTTTTTTTTTTTTTTTTTTTTTTTTTTTTTTTTGCAATAAACTCCAAAGATGGAATAGCTTGTTCCTTACGTACTGAGGAATAGTGGTAGGAATATATTACAAGTCTTTGTTTTCCATAACAAAATCGTGTTTTTATAAGAGCAAAAAACTTTGTATGTACAGTAGCAACAGGGTAGATCACAACATATAATAGTCATTAGCCGGTGTGATCACTTGTGTAGTGCAAAGTGCACACGTGTTCAGAATCAAGGCTATAGTAAAGTTCAAGATGCAGGGAGATAAACATCCCCAGAGAGGAATCCATCCCATGTTTGATTTTGAATTGATTTTGGTCATTATATGCTCAGAAACATTTTACTGTTGCCAAATTTTTCATGACCCTCTCTTCAGTCATACAATATCATATGAGCTCATGGCCCACAGTTTAAGGAACTGGGTCTAAAGCCAGATGTAGTGCCTGTAATTCAAGCACTTGGGAGAGAGACAGGAAGATTAGAAGTATGAGGTCATCTTCCCCTGAATAGAATGTTCTAGGCCAGCCTGGGCTACATGAGACCATGTTTCAAAAAAAAAAAAAAAAAAAAAAAAAAACAGAGCAAGTATAGTGATGTACATTTTTAATCCCAGCACTGGGGAAGCAGAAGCAGATGGATCTCTGTGAGTTCAAAGCCAGCCTGGTCTACATAGTGAGTTCCAGATCAGCCAGTAATACATAGTGAAACACACACACACCAAAAAAGAAAGAAAGCTGAGGTTTAGATAATCTTGTCTTTCCAGAGCAACCTTAACATTTGTCACATGTACAGGGCAAAGAAACAGTCTCCAAGGAACCGTTTCCAGGCACTTACTAAGAACTGCTGACATCCAGGGTTTATTATGTACCCTGGAGAATCAGCCAAAGGGCAGCGGTCTGACCAGTGGCCTCCAGTGATCTCCCTGGGTGTTTTAGGTCAGCACAGGGACCTTCCTCATTCCAGTGATCACTCACTCCTGTTCCTTTAGACAGCCTCTGCCTGGCCCAGCTTTACCACCTGCTTCCTTTTGAGATAAGCCACATCATTTTGCTATAAGTAAATGGCAGTCAGGATCCCTGGGTAGGTAAGTCTGTTATCTGAGGGAAGTTGGTCAAGTCCTGTGAACTCCCAGGCCCAAGTGCCCCAAGCAGTGAGAACATCACAGGATGGGAGCTTGCACCTCCTTAGCTCTGCTGTTTGGTGACTGGCATGCCACGGGTTTTTTTGTTTGTTTGTTTGTTTGTTTGTTTGTTTTGTTTTGTTTTCACTGAAATGTGGCTTGGGATTGTGGAAAGGGCTCTATACTCTTACAGGCTCAGTTTGCTCCCTGGTTCAGTCAATACTGTCTGACAATCCATATATAAATATTCCACAACACTGCTTTTATTTGTATAACAACCCCTGAAAATGAACTCACTTGAATTCTATAAAGTTAGCCATTAATCTTAAACTTGAACTACCATATTAGGTTTGCATTTTGTTTTGTTTTGTTTTAAAAATTCTTCAAGTGTATCTGATAGTTGTCCAGACCCCAGCTGGAATCATACATTCCTTAAATGAGGGCAGCACCCTGCTGAGGTCTCTTTGGACACTTATAAGGTACTGGGAAACACAGGGTTTACTGTGTCCACATGTGTCATCGATTGCACCACAGCCACTCAGGTTGAGTCTTGCCTCGTTTACTGGAACACAGTCTATAGACACTTCCTCCAGGGCCAAGGTGATAACGGTACATTCCTAAAGAGGAAGGTGTGGCTTCGTGTGGAGACAATATTTTAGGTGTGAGAACTTTGACTGGAGGACTGGGGGGGGGGGGTGTAGAACAGTGGTAGTGTTTATCTAGCACACACACACACAGGCACGCGCACGCGCCCTGGATGTGACCTCCAGCACTGTAAAAAGTGCGGGATAGCATGCAACAGTGTGGGAAATTTGAAGCGCTGGATGGTTTTCCCTGCTAGCGGTTTCCTGGAGTTGTCAAACCCATGGAGAGTATGGAGGACTCAGTCTTGGTGGAGGCCGGGATTACCTACCAGACCTGATAGTAACGCAGCCACAAGGGGAGCGCCTTGCCTTTCCTGACTACATCTGCATGAGATAACCTTGATGCATATGTCTTTTGTTCTCAGAAGAGGAACTAGAGAGTAGGTGCTCCCTGCCAGATGGGTACTGGTTTTGCAGTGTGCCCCTGAGCTAATGAAGCATTTGACAAGATTGTCAGGCTGGAAACACTGTTTAAGCTACTTCCATGGAAGCAGGGGAGGAGGCAAGACAAAAAGCAAAAAGTCTGGCTTCCCAAGAAACTGTGGGATGCCTGATTTCTGCAATTTTTTAAGTCCCTTTTCTGCTTGGATGAGATGTTCTCTGCCACACTGTGGTTATTCAGGGGCATTGCAGCTTTCCAGAGTACCCAGAAGAGAAAGTCTTGTCAAGGCTAGGAAGAGGCCGCCCCAAATACCTAGTCCCCTCCAGTGAAGGGCAGGGTCTATCCTTGCCCAAAGGAGCACAGAAGAGGAAGAAAAGGGTTAGACTAGAAGCATCCCTCCTCATTATTACTCTGCCAGCTCTTAGGTCAGCTGCATGAACAGTGGGGGAGGGGGTTAACATTGGAAGCAACGAAGCCCTGCTTGTGTAATGCTGGGATTTGCAGTGCTTGTGTCCTTGAAGTTGACAGGTCAGGAGTAAGTTCTTCATAGCATGCCACCTTGGCTTTTCTTAGGTAACCAGAAAGACCCTGAAAGAACTTGGGATGCAAAGGTACAAACCTGGCTTTGTGTGTAATTTTGTAAGTGGTCTGTGCCAACCAGTCTACAGCTTCTCAGAGAAAACCCCACAGCAGGCTAGTGTCTCGAAGCTTTGGTTTTCAGTCAGCTCCCCATCACATTCCAGCATGTGCCCTTGGGTATCTGCTCTGGTAGTCAGTCCTCTTGTCTGTAAAATACAGCTAAAATGGGAAGGTTCATGGGAAGCTTGGAGAACTAAATGTAATTGTAGTCACAGCCGCCTCTCAGAATGAATCATGTGCTGAAGTCCTCTGGACTTCTGTAAACACCCAGTAGGAGAGACTGGTCATGTGTGGAAAAAAGTAGGCCAAGGGCATCAATTTCATAATCTGATTCCAAGCAGCCCAAACTATGGCACTTGCACAGAAATTCAGTATGAATCACGTGCCAGGGCAATACCTATAATCCCGGCATCTATTGGGAGGCTGAAACAGGAGGGCTACAAAGTCAAAGCCAGACTGGAATTGCACACTGCTTTTCAACAGATGTCTCAAAAGCAAATGAAGCAGGGTGGATCAAGGGAGGGTGAGGTTTAACTTAAACATACAGGTCAGCAGGTAAAAGTTGCCCACTGCCGAGCCTGAGGACCTGAGTTTGATTTCTGGGACCCATATACATGGCTTCCCCACACACAAATAAAAGCTTAAAAATAAGTTCAATTCCTGGGAAGAAATCAAACTTGGCAAGTGATGAGGTGCTGGGCATCATGCCTTTTCTGTGGCCACTCTGACCCTCAGGCAAGCAAGGAGGCCTCTGGGTGATGAATGGCCCCAAGTTCTTCCTGTGGCTTCCGGTGGGATAAAGGCCTACAGAACTTGATTGGTGTAAAGATTAATGTGGCTGCTCCTAAACACACCTGAGAATTCAGCAACAAAACACCTCTGCTGTTTCTCTTTCACCCCATTAACAATGCTAAGGTCTTGACTGTGTGTGCAGGGTTTCTAGAGAATGCCTTCATCTTCTAAGAGAGAGACATTAAACTGATGTACCTACTGTGCCTGGCAGGCACTGAATTGTCTGGACAGCCCTGTAGAATGAGAATTGTTATTCGCCCACTTGAGTTTCCTTTCCTGTAGTAGTGCACACCTGTAATCCTAGCCCTTGGGAAGCAGCAGCAGGTGGTTTTTTTGTTTGTTTGTTTTGTTTTGTTTTTTGGGGTTTTTTTTTTTTGGTTTTTTGTTTGTTTGTTTGTTTGTTTTGCACAAAAACTGAAGTACATCCAAATGGCTTGATTAATTCATCCAGCCAGGGGGGACAGAGACAGTCTGCATGGAAGATGGATAATCTTAGCAGTATTCTATTTTTTGTATGACCCACATCAGCTCTCCAGGAACAATGCCCCAGACTTAGAAACAGCTTAGTAAATGCCCACTGAATGGAGAATGGCAGGATTTCTACGCCAAAAGGGCATTTGGAGTCAGTGACTAATGTCCCACAGGGCTCTGAATGACCAGCCACATAGAACAGCAGATGACAGAGTCATCAAGTTAGAACTCACTGTCATCCAGCTGGTGGCCTGCCATGTGCAAAGGCTGGCTTGATCAACTTTGCCTCTTTTATTTCAGGAAATCCACCTTCCAAAGAAGTGCCTGCTGGGAAGTACCCATTCATAGTCACCTCCGATGATGGCCGGAAGGTTCCGGTGGTTCAGGCCTATGCTTTTGGCAAATACCTAGGCTATCTGAAGGTTGAGTTTGATGACAAAGGAAATGTCATCAGTTCCCATGGAAACCCCATTCTTCTGAACAGCAGCATCCCTGAAGGTGAGCTCTGGAGAAAGTGTGCCAAATGACGAGCTATGCACTAAATCCTTCATCCCCTTCTTTTGTTTCAGGAAATGACTGTAACACTTGTGAAGAGTTTAGCTTCTCCCTTGTGTTTACTCTCTTTATTCTTAAGGAAATTTCAAATTCCCCACACCCAAATCCTCATTTGCTTTTCCAAGTCTGCTCAGTGCAGACTGCTCCTGCTTTTAAAGCTTCATCTGGTGAGGAAAAAGCCACTGTCAGTTCCTGTCTAGAAAGGAGATGGAAGAAAAGCAATTCAAATAGGACAGAGTGGTGCTCAAAACCCGCCCCCTCCCCTAACAAAAGGCAGTGACAGTGTGGTGTGGGCCTCAGCTTCTTTGTTCATGAGACAAGGAACTACCCTCTCTTTGTTGTTGCTGTTTTGTTTTGAGAAGAGCTTCTCCATGCATAGCCCCAGGCTGGGGTTATATTGAACTATTGAACGCTAGCTTATCTGTCAAAAAGAACCTCTTTTTTTTTTTTTTTTTTTTTTTTTTTTTGACTCAGAATAAAAGCATCATTATGCTGTCCATTTTCACATGGTATTTGTGAGCCTGCTGCTATGATTCTACCAGCCCTTTTATGTTCACTATCATCAGCTCAGAAGGATGGGCAAGGAGGTCGGTCCCACTGTACCCAGGAGAATCTGTCCTCAGTCACAACATAGGCTTTTCAAGCAGCGAGAGAGGATGCAAGCTGGGAGCCATACCCTCAGCTGATCCTCTATATTTGCCCAGTCTTTCAAAACCCATGACACCCCCATGGTGTCATCCTAGGTGGGCTGACAGGATGCTAAGCTGATGCTGAGATGCACAGAAACACCCAGGTATTAATGTCAGAAAATAAAATAACCATTGCTAAGGAATGTCATAGACAAAACCAAAATGCACAAATATTCTAATTCCTACTCCCAGTAGGGAGACCTGACAATGCTTGACTTCTCTAAAATTTACCCATCAGGAGATTTGCTTTAATGGCAGGCCTTTCCTTTCTCTTGCACCATTTTGATGTCCTTCCTTTCTGTCCTTCTAGATCCAACCGTCAAAGCAGACATTAACCGGTGGAGGATAAAATTAGATAATTACTCTACCCAAGAACTGGGGAGAACAATCGTCTACCTGGATGGCACCACTCAGACATGCCGCTTCAGAGAATGCAACATGGGCAACCTGATCTGTGATGCTATGGTGAGTTGTCTACAGGGACAGCGCACCTGCATCTAAGGAGGGAAGATAGAAGCAGCAGGCACAAGGCGATGGCAGCAGAATTGGGGATTTCAATACATTTAGTACCCGGACAGAAGCTTGAAGCATGACTGGTTTCATATTGAATACCTTGGCGAGGAGGCTCAAAGAGATTAGGAGACCATGTCATTGTTGCTTTACAAGGACTAAAGCCTTTTAAAGTATGTCTTTCCTAGATGTCTGAGTTTGGGGTGTTTCTTTCTGTAAGATGATCTGAAGACAGGAACCCACCCCACCTCTATGCGGCTGCCAGATGCTGCTGACATAGTAAATTAAGCACATCTGCTTGCACCTAATTTGCCAGGGCATTTTTTTCTCTGATTTGTCCTCTTGGCTCTAAAGAACATGGGCCTTGTGTAACTTGCACTTCTTTCCCTACACAGAATGAGAAAGCACAGTTAAGGTAAAGCCCCTGTCGAGAGCAAGATCATTCATGAAGAGCATTTTTCTGGAACCAGTTGGCCAATGGGGCTTCATAGTGCTGTGCTAAGCAAAGGTCTCTAGGCTGGATTGTTGCTCCCATGGGCTCACCCATGGGGAGCCTGTTGGTGTGAGTTTTCATGATACACCACAGTGCACAAACTCTGGCTAAGTGAGTGACAGCATGATCGTCCTCCAAGATGAGGTCAAGGATGGCTACTGAGCACCATGGAATCTATATGAGAAACAACCAGACAGAAACATCTAGAGAAAAATCTAGCAAGAAACACCCCAGCGTTCTACCAGCACTTAACCTTTCTGTCAAAGAGGCTGAGGCAGATATAACTTTTACTTTTGTGCTTGTTTGAAAAGTAGAAAGCATGCATTTTGAGGCAGGAGAGTTGGCTCAGAGCTTGAGAGTACTTGGACCTGGGTTCAGTTCCCGCACCCACACAGTTGCTCATAACCATCTGTAACACCAGTCCCAGGGGATCTAATGCCTTCTTCTGACCTCCACAGGCATACATGTGGACACATACATACATATAGGCAAACATTCATACACTTAAAATATAAAATAAGCAAATCTAAAAAAAAATAAATAAGACCATATTTGGTGGTGTATGTCTTTAATCCCAACATTCAGAAGGCAGAAGCATGTGGAGTTCTCCAAGTTTGAGACCAGCCTAGTTTATATAGCAAGTCCTAGAATAGCAAGAGCTACATAGAGAGACCCTGCCTCAAAACAAATAAACAAAAGCATGCATTTTTACCTGCTGTAACTGAATGTGTCTTCTGTACAAGAAAAGTGAGAATGAACCTGATTCTCCTTAGCTTGGGGGGGGGGGGTCATCCCTCTGCCTCCAAAACCAATACTGAGGAACTACCTGTCATAAGGAGAGTGATGGGCAGGCTGGAGGGTCCCGCTGCCCTGGAGGAGCAGCTCCACAAACTAGTTCACCCTGAAGTAATCTTGACACCAGCTGGAGAGGTATTCCACTGTATCCCCTAGTCTGGGAAGAGTGGGTAAAGAGCCCACTGTCCTAAGAGTATGTATGACTGACTGGAGGCTAATAGAAGATAGGCTAATAATTGTTTTATGACTAATAATGTATACAGTGAGTTTCAGTTACAGTTGGGGAACCTGTGGGGGCAGGGGGGGGTGAATACTTTGTTTTCTCAGTATAAATAACCAGATTCCTGGAACTGCTACCAAGAAAGAAGACCCAAAGCAATGAAATGTCTGCTACTATTGTAGATTAATAACAACCTCAGACACCCAGATGAGATGTTCTGGAACCACGTGTCCATGTGCATTTTAAATGGAGGTAGCATCCGGTCCCCCATTGATGAGAAGAACAATGGTATGTGCCTAGGCCCAGCCTCCTTATTGTCTCTTCCCAGACTGTGCCCACAGCACCCTCTGCTGCAGCTACAAACCAAAATGCTGGTCCTTTACATTTGTGTTTGCTGTGACTCAAGTCCAGTGCTTCGACGAAAGGACATACATGTCTTCTTACACGTATTCACAGATGCTAAACCTAAGCTTGATCTAAATTTCTGACTTGCAAAGCAATTAACTGTTGCTGTTTTATAAGTATTGAACATTTTCAAAAAAAAAAAAGAAAGAAAATTTTCATACCTGGAAAGAAAAAGACCAATTCATTAACATTCTATGCTGGAAAGGACAACTCAAAGACACACTATATATTTACAGATACCCAAGGTCCTATTGTATGTTAAAAGGCTCTGTTGCAGCCCTGATGACATACTGTCAAACCCCCAGTATAAGGCCCCAGGCTCATTTCAGACAATAGGACAGATGGCTAGAACTCACCACCCGTGTAGAACTGCGCAATGTTTACCCAACTACTGAAGATCCAGCCCAAACCAGAAAACCCAAGGCTGAAAACTGTGGACATGGCCCTTTGCAAATGCAACCCCCTCATCTAATGGTGGACAACAGGGCATAATCTACAGCACACCCTCTCCCAAAGTTAAACACAGCTGTTCACACACACGCACACACATACACCTTTTATCTGGGTAAACATTCTAAGTTTTTTTTTTTTTTTTCTTGATGCATTTTTAACTACTCAAGGCACAATCACCTGGGAGAACCTGGCTGCTGTGCTGCCCTTTGGAGGGACATTTGACCTGGTGCAGATAAAAGGTTCCACCCTGAAGAAGGCTTTTGAGCACAGTGTGCATCGCTATGGCCAGTCCACTGGGGAGTTCCTGCAAGTGGGTGGTAAGTGGTACACCCTGCAGGGCATGCTGTCCAGTGATACAGGCTTTCCTGGTTGGCTCAGCTCCTTACCTCTGTGGCTAGGCTTGTCTGGGTTTTCTCACAGTCAACCCCATCCATCAGTGACTATGGACTCCTAGAGTCACTGAGGTTAAGTTCAAAGGTCTAAGTCTTTGGCAGTAAGTAGTATTTGCCAACCATGATTTGGACATTGGAAGGGCATCCATGGGAGCAGACTTCCTGAACACTAATCAAATCAGCTGGTGCTCCGACCAGCGGGGCCTAGTTATTCGTGGGTCGAGGTGGGCTAGAACCTGAAAATAATGGGAGAGAAAGAAGGAACGAGACCAAGCAATCTTTGTCAAGGTCTCACTTTATTAGGCACTAAGAGGGGTTTTTAAGCAAAGCAGGGAGGAAATGGGGAAGGGTAGCTGTGCTGACTCTGAGGCTCTGGTATTGTCCCAGGCCATAAATGTCTGCGTATCTCAGTTCCTGGCCTCTTGGTTCATCTCAGTTCCCGGGTTGAATGGAACAGACTGCTTTTTTTTTTTTTTTTTTTTTTTTTTTTTTTTTTAGCAGTTTTCTGTTTTACCAAGATAAGGTTCAATTAGAGTTTTAAGGTATAAATAATTCTGCAAGAAGATGTGACTCAAGGCAGGCTCCCAACAAGCTGGTATTAGGTCTTTCTGTTAGAATCTTACTTGTGATATATTATGTATAATTTACTCAAGCTTGCCTGGGGATTCAGAAAGCAAAGTCAGCTATAAACTATAGAAGCCAGGCACACACCTTTAATCCCAGGACTCAGGATTAAGAGGTAGACGGAGCTCTGTTAGTTCAAGGCCTCGCTGACTACATTAAATTGACCCAGTACTAAGAGAAAGAGCTCACACCAAGATTATCTCAGCACTTGGTATTACATGCCTTTAATCCCAGCACCAGATGGGTATAAAAGATAGGAGCAGTGTCTTCCGTAGGCTCAGTCTCAGGATTCTCTAGCCACGGTGAGGAGAGACACTAGTCTCAGGCTTGGTGGAGAGCTCATTAATCAGCCCTTTCAGCCTGGGCCAGAGGTAAGAGCTAGTGGCTGGCTGCTTTGCTTTTCAGCTAAGCTTTAATAAATCATAAATAATATATCACCAAAGTGGGTGCAGGGAACATTCTTAAACAAAACCAAAAGCTCTCTCCACTATTGTTAGTTGTCTGGGACCCCATTAGGGTTCAAAGGAACAAAGGTAAGAGCAAAGACACAGTATACTCTAATCCTGCTTAGGGGAAGGCATGTCACCAACCCCAGGCCTGTTTTCTCTTTGACTGCGCTGAAGAATGGAAATGAAAGTTCCTCATATGTTAAAGGGCTTCTTCACTGAGGATGGGTATAGAGTGCTGGAGATTAAACACATGCTGGGCAAACATTTTCTAGTTTATTTATTTTGTGCTGTTGGAAATTGAACCTGGGGCCTCATGCATGCTGGGAGAATGCTTTTTAGCACTGCTGTGTCCTACCTCCTAAAGGATTCTAAAATGCTTTTCTTAGCAATCAGTTCCACAATCCAGAGTTAATCCTTAGAATAGAATTCTTTTTTTACTCCAAAATAATTCTGGCCTCATTTTCTCGCTTTTTATTAATCTTGCTTTATTCATTTTATACATTTATTCTTATGTAGCCCAGAATGACTTCAAACACACTATGCAGACCCTCCTGCCTCCATCATCTCCCAAATGCAGGGATTTGTCATGTCCCACTGTGCCTGTGCCTGGCTTCATGTTGCTTGCTTTTATTTTTTATTTTTATTTTTTATTTTTTTTTGACAGTCTCAATATGTACTCTTGGGTAGACTCAAATTATGTAGGTCAGACTGACTTCAGATGTGTGGTGATTCTCCTGCATTAGCCCCTCCACAGGCTGGGAATTCCAAGAAAATACCTCCCCACCTAGCTTCATTTTCATGTTAGTTCACAGAACTACTTGATGGGTATTGCTGTCTGGCAGGAGACCCTGACCTGCTGTCTTTGGGCAACCCTGATATAGAGCACTTTCCTAGGGCAGAGCCAAGCACTTGTGCTGTTCTGATACTCTAGCAAAGTGCCGAGTGGGAGTATTTGTGAAAATCTTCAAATCAGAATTATTACATTCAGTCTTCAACGCTGTTGCATTTCCCAACAATGCACATCTCATTTTCCAAACCCAGTGAGTCATCACCGGACCAATGAAGTCAGGATTATAAGGAGGAAAAATACTGGGGTTTCTCCCAGCAAAACCACCCTTGCCTTCCTGAGGGTCAATTCTCCTCCCAGTGGAGGCCTCAAGGATGAAGGTGACTTAACGGTAGCTACACCACAGCCGACATCCCCCTTATTAAATTTCACTCACACAGGAACTAAAATAGCACAGGGCTAGTATCCCAATTCTAGATCTTGGCCAAAATCCCTTTCATAGGCAAAAGTTCCTTTGGATTCAGCAAAAACGTGGATTTCTTTCTTTTCTAGGAATCCATGTGGTGTATGATCTTACCCGAAAACCCTGGAACAGAGTAGTTCAAGTAGATGTTCTTTGCACCAAGTGTCGAGTGCCCAGTTATGAACCTCTGGAAATGGATAAAGTGTATAAAGTGATCCTCCCAAGCTACCTGGCCAAAGGTGGAGATAGATTCCAGATGATAAAAGATGAATTATTAAAACATGACTCTGGTAAGTGTCTCTTCCTCTCCCGTTCCCAAAGGTGTTCAACACAACAGAACTGGACAAAGGGGTCAAGCCAGAAAAGCCTTTGTTGCTGGCTCCTTCCTGCTTTGGAGGTTGCTAACAACAGTATAACACCAAGGCCTATTCTCTCTCCTCTAGCACACATGCTCACATCTATCTGACCCCAGGAAAGGCACACTTTGTTTGAGACAGGGTCTCTATGTAGTCATGGCTGGCCTGGAGCTTGCTATGAAGACCAGACTGGCTCAGAACTCACAGAGATCTTCCTGCCTAAGGGATGAGATTAAAGGCTTGTGCCATCACAGCGGTCCAGGATTTTTTTCTTTACAGTAAACTTACATGTATTAACAGTATCAGGCATTAAATCGCTTCAATGAATACATCCACATGGAGTAATTTAAATGACAGTAAGATTATGGCGGGTTGTCATGGGTTTGTCTAAGCAAGTCTTATTTCTTTATCCTCTTCTGGGAATGACCCCCCCCACACACACACACACACAAAGTCGCATCATCAAGTATGTGATGATAACGCTGAGCAAACAGCATGAGAAAGGCACTTTTATTTCTCATCTAACTCTTGGCCCAGGTTCCCAATGCCTTTGGCTCTGGAGTAGATCGATTACAGCTGTGATGCCAACAACCTCTTAGAAACCTTAGAGCTGAGACAACGGCACTCCTGCCAATCACGCAGTGCTGAACTTCACATCTGGAACATGAAAGAGCAGTCAGATTCTTTGCACTTAAAATTACCAGAGGACAAAAGTCTTCTGAGGTGCTTTATCCTGGAATGAAAAGGTGTCTTCTGAGACTTTTATTTCCCTTCTTACTGCTAATAGATCATTCTTTTAGCTTTAAAATAATGTATATGTTTTTTCCAGGTGACCAAGATATCAGTGTGGTTTCTGAATACATCTCGAAGATGAAAGTAGTTTACCCAGCAGTTGAAGGACGGATCAAGTTCTCTGCAGGAAGTCACCACCAGGGAACCCTTCCTTTAGTAATTCTTTCATTTTGTGCAGTGATCCTTGTTTTGTACCAATAATGGGAAGTCTCCTTGTCCTTGATGCCAAACTACAGTTTTTTTTCCAGTGATATTCAAATCTGCTTCTGGAGACCTGGCTCGTAATGCTGCTTACCGTCCTCAAGGCTCCTGGCCGATGCTCAGAGCACTTCGCCAGGAAGAGACTATAACTATAATATCATTCGTCAGGGCCAGCATCTCAGTGAGCAGACAGAAAGTCAAAGTGAACCAACAGGGTCCTTTTCGGGGGGTGGGGGAGGACAACTAGATGTAATTTACATATCCACATAACACATTTTGTTATCTTTGAACCACAAAAATAATTTTTTGCTTTCTATTCACTTCTAATCCATCAAACAACTGATGTTTCCATAGAACTTTATCATTGCCAGCTGTGGTGGCACATACCTGTAGTCACAGCACTTGGGAGGGGGAAGAGAGTGGCTGCCAAGTTCCAGGCCAGCTTGACCTATATAGAGTTTCAGGCCAGTCAGCTAGACATCAAGACTCTCACAAACAAAACCATTATAATCTACAAGATGTTTTTAGATAAGACAAGAGTTGTTTCCTTCATTTGATACCTCAGCAGAAAGGGTTGACTTGTCCAAGGCCATACATTCCCAAAAGATCCATCTAAAACCTGGACCTAGGTCTTTTGACCTCAAATCCAATACTCTCTCCCACATCAAATCTCCTGCCAATGGCCCCAGATGACAAATCTCTGTTTTATTTCTGCCCACCACTCTCCTTTCTTTTGGTCTCCCATTGTCTACCAATTTTGACAAACTGGATACTGGACAGAATAGTGTCTTACAACACCATGTGCCTTTGATGAGTCATCAACACACCATAAAAGCAGATAGCACATTAGTCCAGGGGTTGCAAAAGGCAGTCAGCCAGGGGGCAGGGGAGAAAGGGAAGGGAGGGCATGAGCAGGACTACTACATCACAGAAGAGAGGATGGGCATTTAGATGTGTTACATAAACACTTGCTAAGGAGCAGAGCATGACTCCAAAGCAGAACACTGGTTCTTGTTAACTCTTGTGAGATTCCAAAAGCCCAGCCTCTCTATCTCCTCCTTCTTCCTCACATGGAGGTGTCATGAGAGAACTTTCTAAAACAAACTGTAACTCTAAACTTGGACTTGTCCTGCCCATGATTCCAATCAACAGTTTTCATTCTGATCACACCATGTACATCATGGAAAAATACAGTGTTCTGGAATGCAAGAGTGATTTTAAGAAGTGGTATACATAAATGTTGAAGTCACTGAGACTCAAATCCCAAGCAATCATTGTAAGGCATACTCTAGTCCATATATGAGTACCAACAGGACATGAGGGATGCCCTAAGAGATGCCCATGAGATTTCCAGACTGATGAATAATCTATGCTCACAGAACACCTGACTAAGATGGGCCTGTGACCAAGTGAGCATGGGAGCTTTCACCTAAACCATCAAACAACAGCAGAGAACATGTTCCCTAGTGTTTACAAGTATTAAGTACTCCTGACACAAAACATTTTAAAATTTCCAATCCTTTTATGAAGTTCTTTGAAGTAAAACAATGCCTTCAGTTCTAAGAATGTATAGACTAGTTATAAACAGAAATGTCAAAAAGACCATGTAAAGGATAAAGGTGTATTTGAGGTATATTTTTATGCTTGCCCAGTAAATGAGGAGAAATCTTATTATAGCATAATTTTTAAAAGAACATTTTGTAATTTTTCTAAATATGTGTATATGTGTGTATTGTGCCACAGTGTTGAGAAATGACCTTGGACCACTTTATAATTGTAAACTCCAAACAATAAAGCTGAAGATATACGCCTTTGTTTTTGATCTTACTTCTCTCAAACCCCCAAAACAATACAGCAAAGACAATTTTTCAACAGGATTATTTCTTTTGGTTAATAAGCACTTTGTCATCTCATAACTTTTTTCTCATTTCAAAATTGAGAAGACAAATATATGCAATTTGTAGGCAGGAAAGAAGTCTTTTTTTTTTTTTTTTTTTTAAGGAAGTCTGAAGTCTCGAATTTTCTTCCTCTAGCCTTGCTTCACCCCTCCGTGAAAATCTACCAACCTCTACATAAAATACTAGAGATGGGATTGTACAAATCTGAGATTCCAGGATAAAGGTCATGGCAGACAGGTAGTTTGGTGACCAGTGCTCTCTGGAGCAGCCGCCTAGGATCAGAAGCAGCTGATTCTGTTCAACTCTGTCTTCTCTGTCCTGGTCAGAAAAATCGGCACCAATGTAAGGAACTGAGCCCAGCATTACAGAGCTTGCTGAAAGCCAGTAGTACATTGTGGATTTTAGTTGCAAAATCATACCACAGCTGGGTGTGGTGAGCCATACCTTTAATCCCAGCACTTGAAAAACAAAGACAGGCAGATGTCTTCTGTAAGTTTGAGGGCAGACTGTTCTACATAGCAAGTTGCAGGACAGCCAGTAACAAAATGAGACCCTGTCTCAAAATACAGTCCCTCTTCCCCCAAACATACACAAATACACAAAACAAAAATTTCAAAGCTTAGTTTTAACCCAATTGATTTTCCAAGACAGGGTTTCTCTGTATAACAGCCCTGGCTGCCCTGGAACTTGCTTTGTAGACCCGGCTGGCCTTAAACTCAGCGGAGATCAGACTGCTCCTGAGTACTGGGATTAAGGGTGGGAGCTTCCAAACTCAATTTTTAAAACATATTTATTAACTATTACATGAATATGAGGAGGCAGGTGTACCACAGTGAACATGTGGAGGTCAGAGGCAACTTTTTGGAGTTTGTTCTCATCTTTCATATTGTTCTAGTTTCTTTTCTGTTTCTGTGATAACGAACTCTGACTAAAAGCAACTTAGGGAGGAAAAGGTTTATTTGGCTTCACATGTCCAGGTAGTCTATCACTGAGGAAAGTCGGGCAGAAACCACAGAGGGACAATGCTTGCTGGCTCCCTCTCAGAGCAAGGCTTAGCTTGCTTCCTTGTACAGTCCAGGGAATGGCACTGCCCACAGTGGGCTCCCCCAATATCAATCAATAACACCCATGGGCCAATCTAATCTACACAATTCCTCAACTGAAGCTCTTCTAATCTACATAATTCCTCAGCTGAGGTCCATGTATCAGATGGCTATAGGCTGTTATCAAGTTGGCAAAACTAATTAGGAAATACACTCAGGTTGCCTTTACCTTTGCTGAGTATGAGTAAGCCTAACTAACCAAGTTTAGTCTCTAAAATCCATAGTAGAAGAAGGGAATTAACACCTAAAAAGCTATCTTCTGACTTTCATGCATGCATGTGCCCTTTTAAGTGTATGCCATATATCACACAGGCAAATAATAACAAATGAAAGTTCTAAAAGTAAAACTATAAAGAAGTTAACTCTAAAACTACCATGAACACACATGATTTGCAAAAGACTAATAGTCAATTTTTCTTAAGATCATATGGAAATCTTCAACTTTTAATCAACAAGGAATCAAACTATAAGGTGACTATGAGCACTTGGTATAATTAACAAACACCAATGCTTGTAAGTATGTTGTGGCCAGAAGAGGACCATAACAATGACAAGTCCTACTTACAGAAAATGGGAAACTCATACAAAGTTAAGAAAGTCATTCATACTATAAAAGGAGAAAGGAAAGACAATACAATTCCTACCATCTTCAAGCCATTTTATATGCAGCATCATGTTGCATTTTCATGGTAACTGTGAGTATTGTCTTGTAGGTGATCTTCATGTTCTTGTTATTGTTGAAATATAGAGTAATATTTGTTTCTAAAAGTTTCTAAAAGGCCGCTTTCAGAAGCCTATTGCCCTAGTGTATTTCAAATGCTTTACTGTGCCCATTCGTTCCCATCAGTTCTTATGTGTGTCTTAATGTATGAGCTCCATGAAGAACATGTTTTAAATGTGTTCTTACAAACAGAATTACCAAAGGTAATTCTGGTTAGAAGAATACAATAAAATTATACTAGCTGGGAAACCCTCTGAAAATTATGAAGCACATTATAAGATTGTCTTTGAAGTAGTCTATGTAGAAACAGGTAGATCTTCAAATTGTTGAAAGCAAGCATTTAATCTGACTTGATAAAAATTATTCAATTTTACAATAAAAAGTACAAACAGAAGTCTAGTATGTCTAGTGTTGTTAGCTGACTATGTATTTATGATTTCAGATGTAGTCAGCATTAGAATAAATGAGTGAGTGCATCTTGCTAGTTGCTATATAAAAATGGGCTGCATTATATATACATGGACTAGCACATAGAGAGACCTTGAACCTCAGCCAACTTGCATCTGTGTCTTCATACGAAATGCAACTGTATTTGAAGCAAAAGAATAAAAAGATTGTTGGTCTTACTTGTTTGCCCTCTTTCCAAAGCACAGCATGGGGCTGTGGAAATAGCAGGGTGGATAAAGAGCTTGTCATGCAAAAGTGAGGACCAGATCTGAATCCCCAGGGTCCATGTAAAATCAGTGAGCATGTGGCAAGCCTATAATCCCAGCACTCAGGAGGCAGAGACTTGGGAGGACAAGAGCAAGCTGGCTAGCTAGACTAGCCAAATCTGCACGATGCAGAAGCATCAAGTCAACAGTGACATGCCTCCACACACAGGTGTACACAGGGGCATGAGCAGCCACAGACATACCCAAACACACATGAACACATATGTATAGCGCTCACACACACATAAACACAGCAATAAGTGACATGTTCTTGTAAAATCAAGACAGTAAATATAAAACAGAAAGCCATAATACCTAATCATTTTTATTGCTATTAAGTTTGTTAGTCTTTATTAAAAGAAAAATATATTTCAAACACTAAAGTACATGATACTTATAAAAATATACAAAGTGAAAGTGTATGCTTCTATTATACTGGTATGTTATTCTATACCAGTGTTTACATCCAGGATGTCATGGAGGTAGCTTCCTTTTGTACCTAAAGTAAAAATAAATCCACTTAATAGAATAGGGTTCATTTTTAAATTATCTAACAGCTCTAGTACAGTAATATTCTAAGTGAGGGTATGCGCGTGCGCGCGCGCACACACACACACACACACACACACACACACACACACACAGACACACTTACAAAATAAAACAAATACTTCAAATATGTGCTGGCACACACAGCAGATAATAGCAATATACTGTCACAGACCTGATAAAAACCTAAGAGCCAAAAGTTTTCTGGTATTCATTCCAATGTAATTTAACATAAAATTGTCTAATGTTACCACCCTTTTAAAAATACATTTAATATTACTAAACTTTGAAAACATAACCAATAGATGAACAGCCCAAATCTGCTTTCCCTACTCTACAGAAGTAGTTTTCATTGCAATGACACAACCTTAACAATAGTTTGCTTTAATCTAACTAAAGTGATTAATCAAAAAGTAAGGGAGCTAGAGAAATGGTTCAGCAGTTAACAACTCCTGCTGTGCAATATTGAGAACTATAATTCCGATCCCTTTAGCCATGTAACAAACCAAGAACTGCACTTATAACCACAGCTCCTAAGAAGACAAAGACAGAACTGCTACGACTTTTTGATTTCTACATGAGCTTACACTCACAGACACAATACACCCACACCATACACACACACACATCCACACACATACATATATACATCTTTAAAAAAAATAAGAGATGGTTGCCCACCATAGCTAGATTATAAGTCACTACTTATAAGGATGCCACATACTTTAGCTACAATACATGAAGAACTCAATCTGGAACTAACTGGGAAACTTCCTCTCTGATGGCTAGTTTTCAAAGTTCAAAAGGGTCTTACACAGGCTACTACAGAAGAAAAGCAATGAAAGATGTACCAGCCAACAAGTGCTGGACCCTGCATGCTACAATATGAACCTTCCAAGCAAGTGCCTGAGTACAATAGCACCATGACTCTTATGGGACTAAAAAAAAAAAAAAAAAATTCTAATTGGATTTGAGGCCCTAGATTTTAATCCCCAGTATCTAAAAAAAGACAGAAAAGAAAGAAAAAAAAAAAAAAACAAGATGGCTCAGTAGTAAGAGCATTGCTACCAAATCTAACATCCTGAGCTCAATCCCTGATACCCACACAGTGGAAAAAGAGACCCAACCCTGCAAAATGTCCTGTGAACTTCACACTTGCACTGTGGTGTGTGCATACATGTGTACACATGAGTGAGTGCGTGTGCGTGTGTGTGTGTACGCGTGTGTGTGTACGCGCGTGCGCTCACACACGCACTCAATATATCAACACTTAAAAAAAAAAGTCAAACTTCCAGAATGCATGTAGGAGGGGATGAAGAACCCCACTTCCAAATAACAATTGGCAGTTGATGGCTGTTGACAGGAGTCATCCTCTTTAAGAGTGGCCACTCGGAGGTGGCCCGTGCTCCACTGGATGTCCCCACATCCATGCACACATGGGCAGCACTAATAGAACTCAGTAGGTTGTTTTAAAGAAATGAAATTGGGAGGGAGATGTGTTGACAGGCGGTCCAGAGGTAGTTAGGGGATTAAAGAGTAGATGGCTAAATACATGATATAGATGTATGAGATAACTAAAAGAATAAATTTTTAAATTATATCTTTAAAAAGCTCAACAAGATTAATATATACTAGTAATATTATGGACTAACTCCAATTCATTTTGTGTTCTTGGGTTCATAGATCCATGTTCAAAACACATTCTAGTCTCTTTGATTTATATAGAGACAATGTTACAGACAGATGATCCTCTGACCATCCAGGTCCGTTTTAATGCTAAGATTAGTGATGTCTTCAGAGGAGAGCATAGTAAAGG